ATAAGTTGAATGAATATATATCTGAATGGATCAGCATTCAAAGTCAACCACTATATAAAGATTATCTGCACTAGTGAATCAATATCTCCAAAATGTTTATATTTTCATTGAAAGTTGAAAGTTGAAACTAGAAAATTGAAAACTCACTTGAAACTTGAAAATTGAAAATTGAAAACTCACTTGAAACTTGAAACTTGAAAATTGAAAATTGAAAACTCACTTGAAACTTGAAACTTGAAAACTCAATTGAATTCAAGTTTCAAGTTTGACACTACTGGGACGGATGAGATTGTTTGTCTACTCTATATATATGTAATACATACCCTTTTTGTTTTTCATATGATATTGCAAAGATAATCGGTGTATATTGTCATGACTGTTACTAGATTAGAAGATCTACCAAATGAATTGTGGTTAGAACTTTTCGTCTATTTCACATGGTCGGAACTAAATTCAACTTGGTTTCAATGGAAACTTAATAATCGTATTCAAATGTTAGCTGAAGTAGCGCGGAATCGAGTTGCTTTGTCACTCTCGTCGATGTCATTTACAACGTACGGTCAATGTTTGCATTATTTCGAACATGAACATCCAATGATCGCTTATCGTATAACTTCTCTTTTGCTCAATGAATCAGCTGTATCAAATGAAATTATTAATCGATGGCTTGAAAATGATACATCTTTTCTTCCACGTATTCGACAATGTACAGTCTATATAGATCTTGTTAATAGATCTGTTCGCACAAATGTTATTCTCCTTATTCGTCGACATGCATCGATACTACGTCGTATTGTATTTTATTTCGATCGAGTCGATAGATATTATTCTATACTGAAAATGGTCATCGAACAAGGCATTTCTCTGCATACAATGCAATTTATCATTATTAGAGGTAAAGAAATATGTTTTTGTTGAGGAATATTCGTATGTCTTCGCTGCTTATCGAATATTTCGAATTAAGTAGAGTTGAACTTTAGATTAATGAAAGCGAAGTAGGTCATCAAATATGATATACATTGATGATCGCATATCTTTTTACGAATTCAGAAAAAAATAAATGTATAAATTAATTTAATGTTAATCGGATAATATATTTCAAAGCTCGATATTGAAAGTTATAAATTCTACAATCATTGAATGCACACAAGTCCAAAAGCTTCGTTCTATATAGATTGTTTTCTTCAACCTAATTCTTATGATTTATTTTATTTAAATAACAGCAGTATCTATATAATTTAAACATATATTTGATAGATTTCATAGTGAATTTCGTAGTGGATTCATTGAAAAATCATAATGTATAAGAATTTTTTTTTACTTAACTTCATATAAAGGTTCGTTAGATATGTTGAACAGTGAACTTGTTTCGAGAGATTATTTGACAAGAAAACAAAATGATATCAATCTGTTATTCTTATCATTAGATGTAGATCGGAATTAAATTAATCGTGAGAGTGAAATTTATTTATCTATGACAAAACAAGTTATTCTTAAATCTGTGACGTTGAGAAATCGATTGGAAAATATATTTCTAGTGTCATATTAAATAAAACATTTGAACGATTATATATAAGAGTGACAGGTAGACCTCCTTTTTTTTCTCAAGATCTCTAAATGTTCTGAATAAAGAAGGTTCCATATTTTGTGATGTTCAAAGCTTGATGTTAAACGTTCGAGAAAGGATATTTTGGATATCTGAGCATCAAAAGTATCCTCGGATGTGTTCATGTCGAAGAGAATCTATAGAAAATCCAATATTGATAATACGAAAAACAAATCTAAACAGAACGATTGAAATCTTTGGACGTAGCTTAAGAGAAACTGATTGAGCATTCTATTGTACAGCAATCTTTTCTATTTCAACAAAGATATTTGTTTCAATCGAGAACTTTTTATGGATAGAATGCAAGTAAAATGAAAAATTGTTCAAAATATTTTCGTTTTGGAAAAATATTTAGAGAAGAACAGGTGATGTGAATATAATATTGCAAGATATGATATTTATACAAGGATAAAGAAAATATTTTTCATGTTTTCAATGATCATTTTTGTCCAATAAACATGTCTATCATGTGAAATTTGATTCTCTCTTGTTTTAGATAACAGATATTATGAATGGGGAAGTTCTTTAGCGGAATATGCCACTTATTCTCATCAAATCTTTACATCTCCGAACACTGTTCGTTTGCGTCTCTCGTTACAACATATATCTGATTTAGCATTATTGATGCAATGTGATACTTTACCGCGCATAGAACATCTTCATATTACAATGGAAAATGGAATATATACTTCACATAAATTACACAATGAATATGAAGATACATCTTGTCTTACATTATGTCCCAACGATTTCAATATAAATCGAGCTAGTCTAACACATTTACGTACATTACAATTGAGACAAGTAGCCATTACTAATGTTATTGTATTGATACAACATGTGAAATCAATGAGTCAAGTTGAATCATTAATTTTGATGAACTGTAATGTTAAAGGTACGCATTATTAATAGAAAATCTAGATTATCAATGATTATAGTTGATAAAATCACTCTTTCGTTTTTAGATAAGAATGAACTTATTGTATTTAAAAGCTGCATTACAAATTTTATGATTTGTCTGCGTTGTCTTCATTTTGTACTTTATTTATCTGCTGAAATAAAGCTTGAGAACATTGATCTTTACTGGTTTAATTTAGGTCATCATACTGTTGCATATGAGATAAATGAATTGATGGTACTTTACACAGTTCCATATCTATTAAATAGTCAACGACAAGTATATAACCATACGTTTGGACGACAATCGACAATCAATAATAATATAACTCATATTCAATGGACAATTGATCGTGATCCTTTATCTATCAATACTACTCTTACTCATTTTCAACATGTTAATTCACTTGTTTTATTTTTTGATATTAAAGTAAGTATTCAATGTAAATCTATGGACATTTTCATTTATTTAGATTGTTTAGGAAATGAATATAAATCTAGATTCTTGGCATGTATTACTTCCATTCTTACGTCATCTGAAACTTAATTTTGATTCGAATCCAATCAAATCTGATAAATCGTATGATCGATCTGTAACACCGAATCATTATCGTTGTTTTATTCTCGAACAGTTTCGTCAATGTGCTTCTGTACTTGAGTATTTGACGCTATACTGGTCGGACATTCGACTTCTTCTTAAACATTCTTCTTCACCTTGGCCATTCGTTCGACAACTTAATATTCTTATGGAGTCATGTACAAACATTCCATCTGCATCTTTGATCAAACGATTACCAACGAACAAAGCCTTTCCTCAACTACAATATCTTTCATTTGGTGGTCGTCGTTTCTCACTCACCCCACCGAAACCACTCGCAACTCGGATCCTCTTATGTTTCGATGCTCTCGTATCTTCTTCATCGAAATTCATTATGTTACATATGAATAGATGTTGTGGTACTCATCGAAGTGTACCTTTTACATCTCGTGATATACTCCTGACGCTTCTCACAGAACGTGTTCGTTCGAGAAGTGATCACTATTCATCATCTAAAATCGTTATTGATTCGAATGAAGAGATTATCATTTGGCTTTGAAAGAAACTTTTAATCATACAGTAGCTATGCAAAGCAAATATTGAAGAAATTCCTATTACAAGAGAAGATAAGAAGATGAAATGTTTTTGTAAAATTTTTTCATAGAATTTTATAAATATAGCAACTCGAACAAATTTTCAGTTTCATTTCTTTTCTTAGCTATTAATATGACGATAAACTTTAATACCAATCGTTTGGAATTCTACTTTCGAATATACACACATAGACTGAAATACCAACAAGTGAGAAGGATGAATGTATTCTGAAGAACTACTATATTTCACTATAAGGATGGACGATTGTTATACAGTCGTAAAAATAAGACAGTCGACTCGAATTCTAAGTTAGAAAAGATTTGGAATTGTCACTTGTTTTTGATTGAAAAATTCTTTTTTTAAATAGAACTTAAATTAATTGTTCAAACATCTACTTATATACTAATCAAGTTCAAAAATGGATTCAAGGTGCTAACAGAAGTAACATAATGAGTAATACAGATTAGACCACTTAGCATGGCAATAGATAATGAAGAATCAATTTATATATCGTCTATATCTTCATCAAAACTGAAGAAATATCGTAAACGTGTAACGAATGGTCGAGTACTCATGTCTGGTGAAGTTGGACCTTTCCCATTGACTGTTGATCGACATAGATCTATTTATATGGTTGATATGTACCATGATCGAGTGTTTCAGATAGACGAAGGAAGAACAAATATCTCGATTGTAATCGGTGGATCAGAACATAATGGTACACATCAACTATCAAAACCACACTCAATTGCTGTTGATGAATCGGGTGCTCTCTATATCACTGAAGGGGGCAATCATCGAATCACACGATGGCTACCTGGATCAACAGATGGCATTGTGATTGTTGGTGATCGTGGTTCAGGTTCCCATTCCGATCAACTTCACGGTCCTGCTGACTTAGGATTTGACAGTGAAGGAAATCTTTATATTGTTGATAGTGTGAATGGGAGAATACAAAATTTTCTTATTGACAATAGTTCTTGTCAATAAATGTAAGTATGAAATAATATTTACTATCATTAGCTGTTAATTTCTCGTTTTAGAATATGGCAAACGACGATCAACACAATAGGGTGATTCCAACGTATTTGTGACACTTTATAAATGACTCTCTTCAAACCGATTTTAACCTTTATAATCATATATAACATAGTCGATTTTCTTTGCACGACGACAAAAGATCCGCTATAAATTCTAATAATGAAGAGATCGAAGATTGGCAAAATATGGCTTAAAATACAGAAACGTAATAAAGTACAGCTAAAAATATGTAAAATATCCATCATCATATATTTTTAATGCAGAATTTATGCACTTAATGGTATAGCAAATTTTCTAAAGCAAAGTTCACTCGACAAGCCCATGTATATAACACTTTTCGGAGACTATCAAAGAGAGTATCTTTTGAGCATGAAAAGATTGTCATCAATTATCAAGCTATAAATATATATACCATGACATGAACTTCTGTGACAAATTTTTCATGCTCAAAAGATACTCTCTTTGGTAGCTTCCGAAAAGTGTTATATATATTCGTGGAAAAAATAAATTGCACACTGTATTTTGAGGATATCATTATCATAACAGTGTACTTTTTTAAAAGAGAATGACATATTCTGAAAGCGCCAGGAGTTTTCTATCAGCCTGTATATTTGGATTTTCATCTGAACATATGTATTACCAAAAAAAATTTGAGTTCAATGAAGGCACCCTCGTGTCTAGATTCTGACAGGCTCGATTGTGTCACTGTCATCAAAATTAGGTTTTAAAATTTTGTATCACTATGGAATTACCTTTTGAAAAAAGTAATTATAGATTATAATAAAGCCTCAATTCTCTATCTTCCTGTATATTTATCTCTTTTCTTGAGTTTATATACAGAAAAAAAAAATTTAGTGCAATGACCATACTCTGAATCTTTAGTACAAAAAATCTGCATTTTCCTTCCTTCGAGTTTTCTTTTTGAATTTATATTCCTATGCGAATTTTCTTTTCAAACAGCAATTGTATATCCTGATAGACATTGGAAATCTCTATCATCCTGTATATTCGTGAATCATCTTGCATTTGTGTGCTGAAAAATAATTCCAGTATCACTTCGACACACTAGTTGACAAGCTCTAAAAAGAAATAATTTTTTTCCTATCTCTTTCGTCTTTTGTTTCAAAAGTTCACGATGATAGAGAATTTCAAGCTCTATCAGAATCTATAATTAGTTGTTTAAAAAGTTATTCTTATACTAATAATAAAGTTGAAATAAAAAAGAAAGTGTTACAAAAAAGAATCCAGTTTTTAAGATTTCTCGAGGAAATTACCGATGTAATACTGGAATTATTCTTCAACACATCGCCACATAAACGCAAGGGACGCAAAATTATATGGCTTGATAGAGAATTTCAAGCTCTATCAGAATATATAATTACTTTTCTAAAAAGATAATTCTATAGTGATGCAAATTTAAGAAACTAATTTTGATGACAATGAAAAATTCATGTCTGTGGGAATCTAGACATAAGGGTACCTTCATTGTACTCGCTTTATTTTGATAATGGTTAAGTATAAACTAAAATATAAATATACAGAGTGATGGAGAAATTCCACGGGCTTTCAAAATACGTTTTTATGATAAGGTTTTAACTAAAATACGGACTGCAGCTTTTTTTCTGGACGAATATTTTGTTAAATAATTTTCGAAGACGATTCTCTTTCATACAAGTAAAACTTCAGCATTCTGAAAAATACTCATGTAAATGAAGATGTTCATCAAGACCATAAAAAGTATTTTAAACGATTTAATACTGAATAATATGTCTCTAAAAATTAAATCAAATATCTTATGTTTTAAGGAAAAAAATCTACTGATATTGATTTTGTACATGTTTATTTATTGGAAATCAATAGAAATAATAATCGCTTATGATAAAAAGAAAAGCAGATAAAATACACATATCAGAAAATAAATATATAAAATGAAAATAAAGAATTTTTCTCTATTCGATTTTTAATATTAATTTGGTTGATTAACAATTCCCATAATTTCAAATAGAATACCTTGATTAACACGTGGCATATATGCTACAGCTGTATCTGTTGCTTCTTGTTTTGTTAAATCTTCACGTAATAATAAAATTTGTATAACCTGATTCGTATTTAAAGTTGGATATTTTTTTGCTAATGTAGCTATTTCAAGCATAATTAAATCTAAGTCTGTTTGTTCAACTACATCAGCTATATTACTTAATATATTAAAATGATATTCAGTTGCATTATCAGCTGATGTACCATCCCATGATTTAAATTCTTTATCAAGCATAAATACTTCTTTACATAATTTTCCAGCACATGAACATCGTTCAGCTGGTGTAGAAAATTTAAGAGTGATTGCCTGAGAAAATCACACATCGACGATGGATTGATATTTCAGAATTCGCTGATTTTTTTATATGTTATAGAGAGTAGTGAATTTAGTATTTCCTGAAATTTTCAGCTCGATCAGACCACGTTTTCCAATACAAACAGTCGAAATACTAACGACATTTTTGATAATTTTTAACATCGATTTTTAACCGATTTTGAGGTGGTATTTTTTAGTAAAAGTGACTTTTGTATTTCAATATCTAAGACTTTTGAGTTCTGGTTTTTCTAACTACAACTATTGAGATATTCTCCTTCTAGGTACAAAATTTCAAAAGTTTTTGTCGATCCCATAAGATACTCTCAAAAAATCTATTTTGTCGTTTTTTCACTACAATGTCGGCCAGTCGCATTTTATGCGGCAACAAGCAATCGCTCTGATATTTCTGCTGGTGCTAGAGCACATCAAGTTCTGCCACGTAGGCTATCTCACAATTTTGGCCCTCGAGAAAAGTAAAGCACTTTTGATTAAAAGTCAATTTTCTCTGCAATTCATGTTATATACTCAATTTAGGATTTTTTTTTCGTGGCATATATGTAGTATAATGAAAGAAATAATGAATAATCCTCAATCAACATTATCATTATCAACAAATAATTAACAACCATTTACAACATCAGATAATATACCTCAACAAGCATCATCACCTAATCGTGTACGTACTATACTATTATCAGATACCATTCCATCAAATTCAACTCTATCCATATCACCTTCTACCTCAGTATCAACAGATGATGATCGAAGTATTATAAAACAACCATCATCATTACCAACGAAGAGACAAGCAAAAAGAAAGATCCCAACAATAGAATCTTCGTACAACACAAGAGAATCAGCAAAAAGAACGAGAAGAATATAAGATTTACTTGCGGAACATTATTTTATTTGCACTTCTCGTATTACTTTTTTGATGGTCTCTTGTTTAGAAACGTTTTTTATTATCGAATTGATGTTTTTTTTTAGCTTAGTCATTCATTTATTGTTTTCTTTCATGCTTAATCTGCAAATAATTGATCGTTTTTATATTTATATTTTCGATTTTTTAAAAATTTCATCATTGATTCTTAAACAAATATACAGGATGTCGATATTAAATAAAGAACTCCTTTTTTTTTCTTTCAACGAACATTTACTTAATACTTCTTGTAGTCTCTACAAAAGTCTACGTGTTTTTTAGTGACATTATATTTTTTCTTAGTTTTTAATAATTGATTGTGAAAACAGCAGATTTTTATGATAGCATGGACTTCACTCCTATCTGAAGTCGTGGAGTTCCTCGGAGTCCCGGAGTCAGCTTTTTCCCCCTTGAGTATTATTCTTGAAAAAACATCAGATAAAGAAAAACTATTGTCGATCATAGCTAGATGAATAATAACGAAAGTAAATGAGAATGGATATCTATTTAGAAAATTCTATGCATACTATTTACCTTGAAAAATAGACATCAATTATAGAAGATTACTATTGCA